CTTTCCTTCCTTCAACCCCCCCTTAACCTTACTCTTGCTTCTGTGGGGCAGGATACACGGCCTTCAACGGGGTGGATTTTGAAGGCACTTTCCACGTCAACACCGTGACCGATGACGATTACGCCGGCTTTATCTTCGCTTACCAAGACAGCGCCAGTTTTTACGTGGTCATGTGGAAACAAACCGAACAGACCTACTGGCAGGCCACCCCTTTCCGGGCCGTGGCTGAGCCCAGCCTGCAACTCAAGGTGAGCGATAGTCCCCCAGGTTGGCATGAAAGGGGAGGGGGTAACCCAAAGGTTATCTAGCTTTACCCACTCTGGATAAATCAAGACACTGTGAGTTCAATCCTGGAGGCTGAAATTTCTCTCTCTGGGCACATGATGAGAATAGTTCTGCTGAACAAAACTCTGCATCGGTGACAGGAAAGGCAATGGGCCAGTAAAACACTTAGCTTCATTCAATTGCTCAGACTCTATCCCACAAGGGATTACAGGCTCATTATATGACGAATATATATATATATATGAATTCATGATCCAGTTCAAAGCCCAGCTAAATACAGGTAGTTCTCGACTTACGACCATATCCGAGTCTAAAATTTCCATTGTTAAGCGAGATGATAGGTGAGTTTTGCCCTATTTTACGTCACTTCTTGCCACTGTTGTTAAGTGAAGCACTAGGTTCATTGGAAGGCCCCAGGGCACTGCAACTGTCAGAAGTATGAGTCACTCGCCAAGCATCTGAATTCTGATCATGTGACCAGGGGGTGCAGCAACGGTCGTAAGTGTGAAAAAAGGGTCCGACGTCACAGTGAATTTACCCATCCCAAATCTGCAAAGGTTGGAAAGATGGGGGAAAAAATAATCATTTGTTTTTCTCTCGGCTCAATCAAATGCAAATTTTGTTGGTTTTTCTCGTCCCGGCAGGCGGTGAAGTCGGAAACGGGGCCCGGTGAATATCTGCGCAATGCCTTGTGGCACACGGGCCACACTCCGGGCCACGTCAAGCTGCTGTGGAAGGATCCTCGCAACGTAGGATGGAAGGATAAAACGTCTTACCGCTGGCGTCTCTTGCACCGACCTCAAGTGGGGTACATCCGGTGAGAAGAATTCTGCTTTTCATTTGCAATTCCTCGCTCTACGGCAGCCCAAATGCACAGCTGGTTTTTTTCCCCCTCTCCAAAACAACAGAACAAAACCAAGCAAGGCTAACGGAGTTCTCCAACCCCACTTATTAGCTAAATGTTTCTTTTGCATCCAGAAAAAAACCCAATTCATGGTCAAACGTCCTTTTTCCATCCAGAAAAAACTCAATCCATGGTTAAATTTTGCTTCTGCATCCAGAAAAACCACCAAATTCATGGTTAAACGTCCCTTTTCCATCCAGAAAACTCCAATTCATAGCTAAATGTTCCTTCTGCATCCAGGAAACCTCAATTTATAGTCCAATGTTTCTTTTTGCATCCAGAAAACCTCAATTCGTAGCCAAACGTTTCTTCTGCATCTGTAAAACTCCAATTAATGGCAAAAGGTTTCTTTTGCAACCAGAAAAATCCCGATTCATGGTCAAACATTTCTTCTGCATCCAGAAAACCCCAATTGATGGTTAAGTGTTCCTTTTGCATCTAGAAAACTCCAATTCATGGTCAAACGTTCCTCCAGAAGACCCCAATCTGTGACAGTCTTTCCATATAGATTCAATAAACCCCGGCTTGTTCAGACGTAAGCAAACCAACATTTACAGAGGTTTTAAAATGAAATAAAAAGGTGACTAAGACGCTGATCTTGTTGATCAGAACAGTCGGCCGTTCGGCGGTTCGAATCCCTAGCGCTGCATAACGGAGCGAGCCCCCGTGACTTGTCCCAGCTTCTGCCCAACCGAGCAGTTCGAAACCACGTAAAAATAAAAATGCAAGTAGAAAAATAGGAACCACCTTTGGTGGGAAGGGAACAGCCTTCCGTGCGGCTTCGGGAGTTGAGTCGTGCCGGCCACACGACCACAGAGACGTCTTCAGACAGCGCTGGCTCTTCGGCTTTGAAACGGAGGTGAGCAGCGCCCCCTAGAGTCGGGAACGACTGGCACGAACAAGGGGAACCTTTTACCTTTTAAAAATGAAATGATTTTTTTTTCTTTTTCGTTTCTTTTTTTTTTGAGAAGCACGGAGCAGAAAGCCAGAGGACCCCCCCCCCTTCCCCAAATATCCTCGCCAGCCACTTTCGAGTTCTCCCCTTCCTAGTTGGCACCGAACCCAACTTGTGTTCCCTTTTTAAGTCCAGCCTGGTCAACAATGTTTGGTCTTTCCGTCTCTCTCGTTCTCACACCCACCTCTTCCACAACCCCCCCCCCCAACTCCCAAACCGCACCAGGGGCCGATCAGGCATTGTCTGGTTGCTATAGCAATCCCATGTGGCCGGGGAATGCACTAATGCGCTCCGAAGCCGGACAATGAAAGAAAGGTCAGAGCAGGGCAGCCAAAGGAGGGGAAAAAAAGGAAGAATGAACAAGGCTGGGAATTTGAAACTCCCCCTTTGCCCCCCCCTTGCTTAGCAAAACCGTGGGGGGAGGAGGGGAGCAGGAAGAGGAGCGTTCTGACACACACACACACCCCTCTCGAGAAAGCGCCCTTTCCCCAAATAAAATGGATCCTGGGCCGCCTTTCGAAGTCAAATTCCCGTAGTAGCTGGACTCAAAAGCAATTGGCTGGTTTTTATTTGGTGCCCTGAGCAGGCAAGGTTTTCTAACCCCAATTGATGGTTAAATGTTCCTTCTGCAAACTCCCCCCCCTTCCAAACCTCCATGTATGACTAAGGATTTGTTCTGCATCCAGAAAACCCCAATTGATGGTTAAATGTTCCTTCTGCTTCTCCAAACCCCAATTGATGGCTAAGGATTTGTTCTGCACCCAGAAATCCCCAATTGATGGTTAAATGTTCCTTCTGCTTCTCCAAACCCCAATTGATGGCTAAGGATTTGTTCTGCACCTAGAAATCCCCAATTGATGGTTAAATGTTCCTTCTGCTTCTCTAACCCCCAATTGATGGCTAAGGATTTGTTCTGCACCTAGAAATCCCCAATTGATGGTTAAATGTTCTTTCTGCATCCCTCCCAAACCCCAATTGATGGCTAAGGATTTGTTCTGCACCTAGAAATCCCCAATTGATGGTTAAATGTTCTTTCTGCATCCCTCCCAAACCCCAATTGATGG